GAGGTGCATACATTCAAAATAACTCCAGGGACAGACAAAAATACCTCTCCAGTCACTCACATAGTCATGTAAGGCATTATCTTACAAGGAGACTCAGTGTAAATGCATCTGTGTCAACTGAGAAACTACATCACAGAGTACGTCCATAGGGAGCTCCAAAGGCTCTGTGAAAGCCACCGTGGGCCAAGAAAGGAACCCAAAAGCTGCAGCTTAGAACCTTTCTATGTCTAATGCCAATGGTTGAAACCAAGAAAAGGTGAAGCCTTCTCTCACCCTCCCCACCTGCCTAGCTAGCTGTATCTCCAGGGTACTTTCCACAGCGACATCTATACACACCTGAAGAAAGCAAGCAAGCACCCAAACCTATCCAGATCTCTGCAGGTTTCCAGCTGAACCGGAGACAAAGTTCTTTTTTGCTAGTTAGCTACGTTTTTTTTCCCCTCTTGAAACCTCTGAACCACAGGTAAGTTCAATATGTCTTGAGGACTTGTCTTTCTAATAAGAGAGGCTTACAATTCAGGAAAAGCTGTTTCTCTTTCTTTATTTTTCTTCAGTACAAGACATCTGACTGCTTTATTAATTTAGTTAATTAGGCCAGACATAAATAAAAGATGTGGGTATCAGCCCCCTATATGAAGCTTTAATTTGTTTGTTGCATGCCTGGTGGAGGTCATTGTCACTTATTACCTTTACACTTCACTTGACAAATGCTCTCCTGCGCACTGAATGCTGCTCCTAGAGACAGCAGGGAACTACAGCAAGTCCAGGCGAAGTCAAGAAGCCCCCTAGATCTTAATTATAAAACCATAAAGGAAACCAGCTGCCTCTGAAGCTCTCTGACCAGGAAACAAATGAGAATGGGAAATTTATTTCTAACCATAAATCCCAGACCCTTCAGTTTAATTTTTCCCAAGTTAACTTTCTCACCTAGCTAAGCAGCACTGCTTTCTATTGTTAGCTTCTGGCCCAGTATCAGCTGACCACCATCAGTCAAAGTGTCTTCATCTCAATGAGCTCAGGGACTCCAAAGAACTCTGTGTATGCAGACTTGTGCTTGCGGCCTCTAATTATTTTCTAACAGATAACGGAGCGTTTAAGTTCAGAGAGGACAGATTAAACTCGAAAACAGATCAAAACTGGACAGAATCACAGCTCACAGGATTACTTCCTGGAAACACCAAGCTTAGAGGGCTAGAGCAGAAAGGCTCTCATCAGTTGTCTCTCTCAGTGACAAGTTAGTTTAAAGATTTATTTTTGCCTCAAAAATGGTTTGCTATGCTTTCCGACTGCAGCATGACTTTGGAATGTATTACACTAGCAGTTGAGCATCTGGTTTGATGTCAAACCATTTGACCAGGCCAAGGGATTCTTGACTTACCAGAGAATCATAACAGTCAAATAATTTGAGGCTGAGGAGTGGAAATTGTTTTCAAAAGTAAAACTGTAAGTCCCTGTTCTGCTATCAAATAGCCTCTTAGCTGCACATTTGCCTTTTTTCCTCACAACAAGCCTTCTTCTAAAACTCAAGACCTTCGTATATATTGTTACCAGACTTAGGGTGAGGAGGAGGATGCTCTTTTCTGCTGATACCCCCTGCGCCCAGTGGTGACTTCCCTCCTCGACACACTGGCAGACAGAGCAGTGGCAAGAACACCTGCACTCTGGATTCAAGTTCCAGTGCCCTACTTGGGGACGATGAAGCGTAATCAGTCGAGCAGGGAGGAGAAACTACGCCCCACAACTTAAGCACCTAACCGTTTCAGCTCCTGAGGGGAAATTCTTTAGCCTGTGAAATTATTCCAGAAATAATTCACGTTCAGAAATAAGTGGAAAAAGGGTAAATATACATTTTACAAAACGGTAGCAACAACCTCTGCAGGGTGAACAGAGATCCACAGAAGTCTATTGGTAAATTCTGCTTCTGCCCTGGAGAAGGGGTATGGCTTACTTAGTGGACTTTGGATTGCACTGCTGTAACAGACACAAACCACTGCAGTGATAAAAGAAGTCTATGGGTACATTCTGCTTCTGCCCTGGAGAAGGGGGTATGGCTTACTTAGTGGACTTTGGATTGCACTGCTGTAACAGACACAAACCACTGCAGTGATAAAAACCATGCAAGAAAGCAGGGAGCAGAGTCAAAGAAAGAAGAGCTAGCTGGGAATGTGTGGAGAAAGCCTGGAAAACAGACTGCTGCAACTCACTGAAGAAAAATGCCACATATGGGATGTACTTTCTGGTGCTGGCCAATTCATCATCCCCTGCTGGGAGGAGGGTGGGAGGTGTTTGGCCATAGCAGGTGCTACCATCAGGCATTATATCATTATAGTCATTACAGATCCATTAGGGGGTGTTCAAAGTGCTGCCATGACAGCCCAGTAGCCAAATTGTTGTTCTTTACTCTTTTAGCATAACATTTAGCAGAATTCCAGGACCTCGCAGAGCACTTTTACAACAACGCCAACGGTAGAAGTTTTAACCAGTGCCTATGGACAATGCCACTAACATCTACACCAGCTAATTCTGTAGACACTGAAGTGTCCCAAGTACTCTCTCTGTACAAACCACTGTTTTCAAGCGGCTTTAGATTTTCCAAAGCCTCTCTAAAAGGAATGCTAAGTTTTAATTGCAAGTACAAGGACAGACACAACCAAGTAATTGCTGACAAAAGCACACCTGTACTTGACAAGCACAAAAACATGAGTCAAGTGTGTGACTCATACAACATCTCCTTCCCATTAACCTCCTCTTCCCATTCATAACCAACACATCAGACACTTATTTAGTAAAGAGTTAACACCCACCATGTTCATAATGGCACATCCACCTATATGCCTTCAAAAAGCAACTGATACAACTGCTTTTGACCAACAACAACTACTCATAATACTCTTTTTACTGAAATCACAACTGATCCATGTATCAAATGCATTACCGATACAAAACATCTTATTTCTCCTTCTTGTCACTTCTACCAACTAATGATGAAATTTAATTCTTTTTTATTATGATTAAAAATAATGTTTAGTTTAGTGTAAACTTCTAGGATTAAAAATAACTTTGTAAGTTTTCTCTCACCTCGTTGCCACTGGGTCAGAGACTCATGAGAAACTGTCAATTTAAAGAGAAACCTTTCCTATTGCGGCTGTACTTTACATAGTTAAAATCTCTAGAGTTTCCAAAAAACCTTCATAATTTCTGAACATGTGGTCCAGTGAATGAAGTCAATTGATCAAGCTGAGCTAGGAAACCTCAGACAAGTAACTGTGTCGTTTAACACAGACCTTATGTTTTCTTTGTAGAGTGCCTGAAGGTTAATCAATAGCAGAGAAGGAGATATTACTGCTATTTCTCTATCAGATATGGGGTCAGATCCTCAGCTGGTGCGAGTTGCTCAGTTTCACTGACTTCGATGCAGTGATAACAATTCCCCCATCTCGAGGCTGGGCTCTGCATCGCTGACTGCCAGCACCAGACATGGAGCGCAGGTCACGTTCAGTGGCCTTGCACTCCATGCATGTTCACTTCAGAGGGGTGCTGAATACCAGCTTTCCTCTTTCTGGAGTCCTTCCATTACCAATATTCTTGATCATTATTTTATCCATTAAGCGAACATTACCTTTACCCCTTTAGAGTAATCCATTCCTTTCACAGGGCCAAAATGGCCTTTTTTTTGCTTTCGGTGTACAATGATTATTGAATGTCACCTACACAAATGTGCAGTGCTCTGTAAAAAGCACAGGAAATCCCCTCATCTACACAGCCTTTGGCCAATTGCCTAAGAACTCACACGTGATAATTTGTCTGAAACAGCCAACTCCGTAACTGTACATTTTCTATTCATTTCTAGATGGAAGTACAGACTATATAATGGGAGTACATTCTCCTTGTGGTTTAGTGCCTCACTAATGCTAACCAAATTAAGCCTATACACTGAACAAACTTGCCAGACTTACAAGCCCTATGTAATTTTCAAGTTCACACAAGAGATTTACAAAAAGGGTGCAAATTTCTACCATTTGTCAAAAGCCTGTCACTGAACAGGACACAGTCATTCACAGTGTCAATGAGGCTTGATCTTGACACGGCGCTAAAAACTGAGTGCACAGACTCTGTGAACGTAGAACATTCATGAAAATTACGATCTTGACCTCTTATTAACAATATTTCAGGTTAATTAAAGCAAAAGGACTTTTAAAACCCAGCGTATTTGAATTGTCTTTCCCCTCCCTGTTATGCTTTGCTGCTGCTGACAGCTCCCAAACTCAGAGTGCTTAGTTCTCAGGAACACTGAAGCAGAAGAGCACTGAGGCTAAATTTCTGTTCCTGTGAGTTCTGCACCAGTGGAGACTTGAGTACGTGGTAAGACGTAACTCCTTCACTCTCTTGTCTCTGGCTTTTCTGCCATGGAAAGATAAAGTATCTCGCACATGAGACAGAGGAGTCTCAACCTTCCACTGATGGGAAGACCATTTATTAAAAAAGTCAGGCATCTTAGGGTCCATTATATTTGCACAGTGAAAAATGCTGTCCTTCATTACCACGGCACTGATATCACCCTGGTGGTGCAGGTACTTACAGTTCTGGAATGGAATGGTGCACATGTAACACACCAAACAGGGCAGAGCACTGCCTCATACAGATCTGCCTAGCTCTACAGCTTCACAGAAGCAGCACAGACCTACTCGCTTTTGTTTGTTTGTTTGAACATTGCTTCAACAAATGCTATAGATAAGCATTAACACTGAGACAGCTTGTCAAAGACTAAGGGAAGAAGGGAAACAGCCCACACACAAAATTTCAGCAGCTGAGTTTTTCTAAGGACACAATATTGTAGAACTTGCTGAACATCAGCATGGTATCAGTCTTGTGTACAAGCCTCCTTCTACTATTTAAATAGAAGGAAAGAAACTGGCAGAAATCCCTCCTTACAATCTCTGCAGACTACAGAAAGACACCTCCTACCCACGACTCGGGTAGGCTGATCACCCCTTACTTACATCCATAAACTCTACGTTGGCTTTCGGACCAGTGGTCTCGTTAAGGATCTTAATGGCCACAGGAATCTTCACAGTTTCTCCCTCAGGGACCCAAATGCCCTAGAAAGATTAAAGAAAAAGTTACAAAAGACAACAATCATAGAGACTTCATTCATTCATTCATTCACTCAGAGTTACAGTTCTTTTTGATGCATTTTGTCACATTACGCAGTTCAGTTACAAACCTCAGAACTGAGAATACACAGCATTATAAAATAGTAAACATTTCACAAATCTACTTCTTAACTCATATCTGAGAATTAAAAGCTGAGAAGGCTAAAAAGTAAACTTTTAATTTAAAATTCACAAACTGTCTCTTGGTCTAATTTTCCATCCTTCTTGACTATTGCTGTGCTCTTGGCAACCTCATGGTACCCATCTCCATCACTTTATTATCGTCTAACTTTATTTGAACTGATTATTACAAAATGCATTCCCATGACCCTGTAGCTGTAGTGACCTGGTCTGTACTTCCATTTCCCAAAGGGCTGGGTGATTGGTTTGACTTGCTCACTAAACACTACTGCATGCCTTTGAGATTTGGACATGACAAACAGATCTTAGAAAAGTCTTTCACTGCAGTATCTTTTCCCTTGTAGGTTCTGCTCTTACACCCTGGTTGTTAAAGGGTGCATCGACTTAGCTCATCTTTTCTAATGAAACGGAAGAAACAAAAACTATCACAGTTTATCTGATGACAATAGCATTTTACAAAGTATGATCACTAATACAAGACCCACGTGGCACTTGCGAAACGAGAGACAAAGTTCATCTAGCTTTCCAACAGTGTACTGTAAAGCCATGTGTAAGAACAGAATGATAACCTTTGATTCTTCATTTTAAGATCAAGACAGCCCAGCTTGCATGCAAGGATGCTTGTGGCTGACACTCCTTTCCTTACCAAGAAATAATATCTGCATGTCTGATTAAAATCAAAGTTAACATTTGAGCCTGAAGATGGGCTCCTCCCACACAATTCCACTACGCTATGTGTTTCCCAGACATGCAGGACTCGTGAACCCATCCACGGTATGGCATCCTTTGCTGCAATGCAGAACCTGACTGTTCAAAAGCTGAATGAGGGAACTCACTGCTGTGCACTGAAGGCTCTTACCTTGTATACAGTCCCAAAGGCTCCAGAGCCAAGAACCTTGACTCTTTTCAGCTCAGTTTCCTTCAGGATACGAAGCTGTGCTTGGTTAGGTGCTGTGCCACTTGGAGTCAAGGGCTCCACAAGCTGTGAAGGAAAATCCAGCAGTTTTAAATACTTGACAGTGTGAAGACCTGTCAGAAGTTCATACCGAACACAACCAATCTAACTAAATACTGGAGTAAGACAGTGATGGGGTCTATTGATTATTGAACCGCCAACCTGCGAAGGGATTTCTCACCTTCAAAAGCAAATGAGCAATGCTAAGAAACCAAGAGATCTAATAAAGAAAGTCCTCCTTCAACATGTAGCAATTTCCACCACGAACTGCACGATGGAATTACGGACTGGAAATTGAACTGGTGTCACAATAACACCCCCAAGGACTTTTGCTAATGGAGGCAGTATAAATATTTTCTACATGACAGAAATACAGCATTTATTATCAGTGCACCACATTCTATTTTTTCCCATTTTACTGCCTTTTAAGTTGGCCATATCTCTTCTTAATAGCCCTGACTTAATGGCTCATCACGTTCTTATTCTGTTTTGAGGAAGGGACTGCTTTTCTGAACTTCTGTTGTACCATACAGGAGGACAGCTTTAAGGAGGAAACCTCTTACAGTAGATCACTAACTTATAACAGTTACTAATTTACTGCAAAAAGGGCACAATTAAACAATTTGCTCAAAATGGTCCAAGAAACTTCGTAAATAAGCCACAAGGGTACGTTCAGTGAAAAATGTTCTCACACCTCAATGCTGTACCAGATTTATATTTCTCTGTCAGAAAATAAAGAATGCTTTTAAAAATAAATTAAAAATACATAAAAAGGACAATACTCTAAACAATGAAAAATAGTCCGTTCCTTTACAGGATGAGGAAAATAACTGAGGGCTACTCCAACTCAGACTGGTTTGAAACCACTGCAGTATTGCAAAGTAATCTGTTCACAAGGCTAAATGCACAATGCTCTGCAGCTTGAGAACTACTTCTATGGCTCTTAAAGCATCATGAACTCCTTCATTGGTTGACCAGACTACTTTGGTTCAGATTAAGAAAAAAATTTAAAAGTATCTGCAGATTATTGGAGTAAGAAAACATAACAAAACCAAACAGCAATGAGTTAGGTCATCACAGAAATAATTTGTAAGCTGTACTTTTTTTGAGTGATTCATCTTTCCTCTTTTCCACTTCAGATGTCCAGTACTTACATGGTAAAAAGGAAAGGTTTGCTGTAAAAGACAAGTAGACAGACTGGCAGTACATTTCTGTATTTTCAGCTTGTGATGGGTGAAACCAGTTTCCGTGCCACAGTCCACCAACACAGGTATGGCAGGGAGAAGTATTGAGGGCATCTAAAAAAATGCCTGTAGAGTTTTATTTAGAATAATCTACAGAAAGAGAAGTCTGTTACATCCTTCAGCTAGAAACAAGAGACCTTAGTTGAAGCTATCCTTGTGTGTATCTCAGGATGCTCCTGCTTTAATCTTCAGTATGTAAACCGAGACAACAGCTTCTCCACACATTCACATAGGAGACCTTGGTCCCTCAGGAACCGCTGTCAGTGACAGCTTTTATCTGACCAAATGGAGAATGAGAGATGAGCTTCAACGCCAGTACTCCTCAAGTCCAGTGAAAACTACCTACCTAAAATCATTTATGTTTAAGAAGGGGCTGATACAATGGCAAGATTTATGTATAATAACATGTCATGATATTATGACATTGAGTATTGTCAAGCTTTCTGTACAACTGAACAGTACTTAACAAGCAACACAAATTCTAGCCAAGCACAAATACACTTAGGAAAACAGACTGGGGATGCATAACCCATTTGCTCCCAGGCTCTACAGTGGAGATGAGTGGGAGCAGGACCCTTGGAAGAGAACAGAAAACAGCACTGTTAACACAGCCTTATCCAAGAATCAGCAGCTAACAATATTCTCAAGCTTTATTATCTCACAAGGGAGACCCTAATTTAAAAATAGCATCACTTGCAAAGTGCCTTCAGTATAGGACTGAGGAGATGGTATCTTTGCTGTTGCTGACAGATAAAGATTCAATGTTATGTTTAAATACATTTCCTGGATTGCCCCCTCCACTACTGGCATTTCAAAGCAGCATGGAGTGGACACAGCACTCCTTCCCATAGCTCCACGACATGTTCTTACCAGTAGACCTCTGAACTTCATTCAGTTAAGCACTGGGAAGTAACTTGACTTAATAAAATACATTATTTATTACTGATCACGACTACAGGCTTCGACAAAATCTGGATCACAAAGGCAATATATGCACTGGGAAAAACAGTAAGCGACAATCTTCACATCTGAGCATTCCCGATGAGCTTAAGTTTGTATCAGAGCTTCCTGAAGGAACTTTAGCAAAGTTGACCTCAGAATGTACTACGTGAAAATCTGTAATATCTAAGCACGAGAGCTGCTTTAATTTACTGATGAACTAGGATAGAAGTTCAGTTAAAAGCAGAATGGGAGTTCAAAAATCCGGTGGAATGTGACTTTGTGATCACATGGATCTTTTTGTCTTCGAAAGTCACGAATTTACACATGTTCAGAAAACTAATACCTCAAAACACCTTCATCCATTCGATCAGCTTAGTCCTGCAGAAGGCAGCAAAAGGACTGCTACAGATCTCTCTGGTAACTGTACTGAAGACCTGAACATCTTTAATATGAAAGCAGAACAGCTCCACATATCTTTTTAGACATTCTGTGAGAAGAAACACACGCTCACCTCAGTCTCCAGGAATCTTCGCAACGCTCGCTTCTTTTTAATGCTTTTGCGCCGAACGTACACGGCAAACGTCAAGCCCACAATGACGATGATGAAGAGGCCACCGATAACTCCCGCAGCAATCAGAGGGGTTCTAGCAATCAGAATCAGACACTTTATTTTCAGGTAGAGTAAGACACCAAAGAATGGTTGGATACATAAAAACAATCAGTTGGAAAGCTTTTCAACTGCCTTATGACCAGAATTTCTAAGTCGGTCCAACTGGGAAGCCAGGGTAAACACACTATCATAAGGTGTGACTTTTCCTGGTTTTAATCAATAGATCAATTCCACTTTTTTCAAACCACCATGCATATGTGAGGAGTTGTGTGGACAAGGAGACACAACATGCACTTTGATGGCAAATGCAAATCTGCAATGGCAAAATGAGGATACGGGTATCTGCAGTTTTGCTGCAAGAACTTTTAACTGTGCTTACTCTTTGGCTCCATCTCTATTAACCCATGGGCTTGTGCATTTAGGGGGAAAAAAACCTCATGAAAAATTGCCTAAACTACCAATGCGACATGCCTTTGTGAGTACAGAGAAAGCGAGATGCAACTTCGAACACGGTGTTTCATAGACAGGGAGGCATCATTCTCATACCCCTTTTTTAAGCAGAGGATATTTATATTTGAACAGTGTAATTAACTACTAGAACCACACACCCTCTTGGAACTCCTAGTTCATTACTATTACACATAAACATTTTGGTCAGGGGTCAGGGCTGTACCCATCTGGTTTTGCTGTGGATTTTCAGCACAGTCAAAACCCAGACCAAAAGACTGGTGTGTTGGAGACCAAAAGCTTCTGTGAACAATGCCAAGCAAGGCTTAGCACAAGAAACCACTCCTATAAATGCTTTCAGCTTCCCAGAATTTTGAGCAGCATGAGCTACAATTACTGATTTGTTTTTCCACAGCGATAAGACGCAGTAGGCTGGCATCGTGGTAGATACTATGCAAGCACAAAACAAAAAGACTGCCTCAGAGAGTCACTTTGTTTCACTTCAGTGCCCATGTACGGAGATCGCCTACACAGACAGTGGAGAGAAGCAGAAAAGAAGAAAAAGTCAAAGCGATAGGTGCACTCATTCTGTTTTCTTTCTCCCTCTCCCCACTCCATCCCTAAAAAGCAAGTAGCAACCTCCAAACCAAAACCTTGAATTCAGCATTTTCACAGAATACCATCAATTACTAGCAGAAACACACCCAACTTCACATCCCTCCAACAACAGTGGGACAGCAGCTGAAAAGATGGGTAAAAACAGACGGCGTGACAACTGCAGAGTAGAAGTGGTGCTGAAACCGCTGCCTAGTAAGTACAGGAAACAGGTTAATATCACTGCTAGATTTTAATAGTCTTCCTCAGTTGTGGCTGATGATGAAGGATACATTATGGTCTATTAATAAGAATGTACCACACAGATATTGAAAATGTAAAGGTGTCTGCCTCAGAAATAGTTAATTGATTTATCTGACCCTTTATTCTTCTGTTTATGTCCTACCACAAAGCAGAGCAGTGGGAAGCAGTGCCAACTACTCTGCCCTGGTGAGACCGCATCTGGAATATTGCGTCCAGTTCTGGGCCCCTCAGTTCAAGAAGGACAGGAACTGCTGGAGAGAGTCCAGCGTAGGGCTACAAAGATGATGGAGGGAGTGGAGCATCTCCCTTCTGAGGAGCGGCTGAGGGAGCTGGGGCTCTTTAGTTTGCAGAAGAGGAGACTGAGGGGAGACCTCATTCATGGTTATAAATATTTAAAGGGTGAGTGTCACGAGGATGGAGCCAGGCTCTTCTCGGTGACAAACAATGATAGGACAAGGGGTAACGGACACAAACTGGAACACAGGAGGTTCCACTGAAATTGGAGAAGAAACTTCTTCTCAGTGAGGGTGACAGAGCCCTGGCCCAGGCTGCCCAGAGAGGTTGTGGAGTCTCCTTCTCTGCAGACATTCAAAACCCGCCTGGACGCCTTCCTGTGCAACCTCATCTGGGTGTTCCTGCTCCGGCAGGGGGATTGGACTGGATGAGCTTTTGAGGTCCCTTCCAACCCCTAACGGTCTGGGATTCTGTGATCTAACCTGGTTTGGTATACTGAGGTGTGTCTATGTTACCACAGAGTAGTCTTGAAGCCCATCTCTAAACTGTCCTAACTGTCCCTTGTCACAGCAGTTTGGTTCAGAGAAGTCTCAAAGCACACAACCTGGGCTAATTTCAGATACCAACCAGAAGATCTGTTTCTGCAGTGCACCTATAATGTGCTCCGACCTCTAACTGGCATTAAGGCCCACAGAATCAGACTGGGGCTAACTCAAAGAAAAATCCCTTGCAGCAAACATAGCCTAGACACTGGGACCATTACCTATTTCACCCTGCAGACCCAATCCTACCGTGTCACTCGCATCATGTTAATGGAGACTAAGTCTCACACTCCCACACCTAGTTACTAAAGCATCCTGTCTGAAGCACAACTACCACGTTTGCCCAGGGAGAACACGTTAACTTCACACAACACTGTAAGGCCTATTATAGTTCAAAGATTTCACGACAGAAACCATAAAGCCTGCAAATAAGGAAGCTGAATGTTGTCTGGCTGTGAAATGGATTATGATATTCAGGAAATGCAAGTCCAGTACCATCTACTCTTCACGCAGAGACACTCCTCCTTCATCTAGTTTGGCTTTAAGGCACATTCCCCTTTCTACACCCATTGGTTGCTCCACTGATTCTGGACCTGGCATATCCACCAAAAAAACCACTTCTCTTCATTTGCATGTGCTTTCCATGATGCTGATGCAAGAAACTCTTTAAGAGGCGATTACAAAAAACACTGGACATCAAAGACTTCCACGGAGCTAGCACTCATTCACGTTCTTGAGCAGAGGGGTTTTTTAATGCTGTATGATCAGTCACATCATTTTCAACAAACACCACCAAAGCACAGACTGACAAAACAGGCAAGAGATCTCTCGGCTTTAAAGTGCATATTAATAACTATCATAACAGCTGTCAAAATAAATAATTAGCGTTTTATGGTACTGTGTACACTAAAAATGGTCCAAACAATATTTACATGATAGACCATAATAAGGAAACCATTCCAAAGGAGACACAGATAGTGAAGAAAATAAAATGAAGTTACACATTCTTTGCAGTCTTTTATTGTTATAGAGTGCAGGGGTTCAAAATGAATCTTTATTATCAACCATGCCGACTCTCTCTGACATTAAAAATCCTCATTATTTTTAGTAGTGAACTGAAAAAAAGCAAATCATTTTCTCCAAACAGCATTTAGTCATTTATGTGAAATATGCTGTAATTGAGTATTATATCTGAATTTTCAGGATATTAATTATCTAAATGATCAAATTAGCTAAACACACCATCAAGAAAGATTATAAAAGGAGTGTAAAAGGTATAATGTAGCATGTGAGCAAAAAACCCCAAACATTGAAATGCTAAACAAATATCTGAAATACAGAAAAAGTTCTATTCTCAACGCAAATGGTGATCAGCTGCCTTCACTCTTACGTCCACCATCCTTGCATGAAAATCATGACAGACACAAACACCGCAGACCTAAACGGACGTGTTTGTACATCCCACAGCACCTCCTCACTCTGCTGAGCTAAGCCCCACAGTCAGCAATCATGTGTTTGATTTCCTGCACCGCCTCATGACAAGGCCCTGCCTTCAGTGCTTTCTGGTACCATCAATGCACTTCACTGTTCTCAACCGCACGCAGATTTATTTTCTAAGCCAAATTTTCTGGGTGTCACCAACCTCATTGGGGTTATTTTTGCTTATGTTTGTCTGGGGAAGTTTGTTTTCTCTCTCTTCTGCTACATCTTCAAGCCTCCCGTATAATTTCTCTAATATTTTTGTGTTTGCAGTAGCTCGTATTTAATACTCTGGTGAATTCCATTAACATGCTGTTTACCTTTCTTTCAGATAATTGCTAAGGTTGTTTAACATGGATCCCTGCAAGCTGGTGCTGATCAGAGGTGTTGCTGAAGGCACAAAACCCTTCTCCCATTTTGTTTTTTGAATCCAATCCTTTTTTTGCACATGCACCTACCAACAGTTCAGCTTCACACACTGCTGGACACACCAACCTCCTTCTCTCTCTCTGGTGGCATTAAGGGCTCAATCCAGTTACATTTTTGTTACCTTACTGTCCCACAACCACCTCTGTGAATGCACTTTGCTACATTTGCCCAGCTCAGACTATGGCTCACTCAAACCTAATTCCATGGATGTTAGCAGGAGCAATGTGGATGAAGAGACAAAAATTTCACTATCAAGAAACCTCATTTTGTTTAAGTCATTTTTAAAAGCCTGGAGGCCCCATTTCTCTCTTAGGGCTCAGAAAGGCTCGAGTCAAGCAGAGAGAGGTAGTTCCACATCAGTCCTGCCTGTCCAGCATAATAATGACCAGCCAAAAGTTGAGTCTAGCTCACATTCTTTTCAGCTCCACCACAAATCCACCAATGCGAATCTCCTGATACAGCCACTACTTTCCTTTAAACGCTGAAAAACTACCCAAGAGGGTGACAAAAAAAATCTCTGCTAGGTGTTTATAGACTTCTATGCTCACCAAAATAGACTTGGCAGTCCAAGAAACATGGCCCTGGATCATAATTCAACCCCAAATAATTAATTTGCTGTCCCCCACCTCTCCCTCAGTTGAGGACGGTTGATATCCAACTACTGACTGGAAAAGGTGGTGTCAGGGGAGGCAGCGGGAGGGGGAAAAAAATATCCCAACATGTGAAAAATCCTGCATTTTAAACTGGAAATTGTGTATCTGTGGCTAAAAGTTGAAAGCAGGATTCTAGTATTCCCTTAGGAGACATGAATAATATATATTTCTTTTTAAATGTGTTTTCATATTTAAAGCATGTAACACCCACTCCCACACACCAAAATTGAGATGAAAAGTTCCAAGTCAGTATTCCAAGGAGGACAAGGACACCTGAAGAGCAGCAGAGCTCGTATCAGCCCATCCACCCCAAAACACCAACACATCTGCAATTCCCACAGTGCTTTCAGACCAGGTAACAAAGCCTAATGGCTGACTTAGACGAGTACATG